AATTATATTACATTATTATTATTATTATTTTATTATTATTATTATTATAAAATATCCTATTGCCAGACATATCATTATTGTATTATGTGTGTATGTGTGCATACGTCTATGTGTATACATACATACATTTTTTATCTACTAGATATAAAATAAAAAAGTTGCTAAATATAAAAACTTAGAATATTTCTACCGTTATTACTAGGATAAACTATTGGAAAAACTATATATAATTGTATATAATCTGCATGCGCACCACAATTATATGCGTGTGAGGATCGAACAACGTCGAAAGAGTTTATAAAACCGATATATATATATATATATATATATATACACCAGTACTCGAATATAAGGAAGTTAAAGTATACTGTTGAAATTTACTGAATTTAACTGAAAACTGCATATATTAATGAAATGGTGAATGAAATTTATCAATTGAGAAAGTATTTCAGCAAAATATTTCCATTAGGATGTTGAATGCCAATTTTGGCGATAAGCGAAATTATCAACCTTTTGTATATAACACAATGTTGCGCAATAAAAAACGAACGCGAGTTATATCTGAGAAAATATTTATACNTTGAGAGAGAATTTCAGTACAATTTTAAGAATATTTCCATTAAAGCAAGAACGGATTAATCATAAAAAGTAGTTTTTCCGGTAGTTACACACACACACACACACACACACTTGCAGCTTCATTTTACCATCATTTCGCCAATGTATGCAGTTTTCAGTTAAATTCAGTAAATTTCAACAGTATACTTTAACTTTCCTTATATACGAGTACTGTGTCGGTATACTATGAATTTGATGAACAATTAAATGAAAGTTACTGAAATAATTACTGAGACATATAATAATAAATATTTTAAAATAAATCATAATTTTCATCACAAAATTCATTATAATATTGTGAAATATCATGACATTTACTGAATTAAACTGAAAACTGCATATATTAATGAAATGGTGAATGAAATTTATCAATTGAGAAAGTATTTCAGCAAAATATTTCCATTAGGATGTTGAATGCCAATTTTGGCGATAAGCGAAATTATCAACCTTTTGTATATAACACAATGTTGCGCAATAAAAAACGAACGCGAGTTATATCTGAGAAAATATTTATACGGATGCGAGAAATGAGAAGTCTGTTCATATTTATATAAAAAGCGTAATTTAACCCTTTGCACTCGAGGGCTTCGGAGCGGAGCCATTTAAAATTTGTCTTCAAACTTAAAACAAACTATTAACAACTATTACCAAATTAACAAAATTTAAAAAACAATAACATACAACAATGACTTTTCTTTTAATGCGCATATCATTTACTTATATGTAAATATGATCTTTCCACTGAAATTGCTTCGAGTTGCTGGTAATATGAATGAAAAAAAAATTCAAGTGCAAAGGGTTAAAAGAAAATTAAATAATTTAAAGTTTAATAAAAGAAATCACACAAAATTTTTAATTTTATAATAATTTATAAAAATATATGTATATATTCGGTTTTATAACATTTTCCGTGTCTTCCGATCCCCACACATATATATTCGTGGGGCGCACGCAGATTTTATACACAAATATATTACACAAATAATTTATAAAAATAATTTTTCAACATTCAGTGTAATGAAAAATATAATATACAAACTTATTTTTAAATTTTGTTATTTTAATAGTATCAATTGTTCACAGTCCGCCGAAAACAATGATAATTAGCGGTGTTCCGGCTAAAGGAAATGCTGATTTCCCACCGGAGGCTGTGCAGCACTTTCACGAAAAACCTACACCGACACACGACGCACGACCAGCGCATTGTTCGCGTCCTATTATCATCCAACAACCAAGAAAGTAAAGTGCACTTTGCAAATTGCAAAGTTCGCGAACGACCTCAGTCCGCGAAGTCACTCGTTAAGTTTAATCGGCAAATAAAAGATTATAAATATTATAAATAAGTGCGTATATATGTGTATATATGTGTATATATATATATATACATATTATATATATATATATATATATATACACACACACAAACACACGCGCGCGCGCGCGCGTACTTAAAAAAATTTTTTATGGGATTAATTGAAGAGTTTAGACTTCGTACGACGACAGCATTTACGACAGTGCCGCTCGATTTTTTAATTTTTTAATCGAAAGATAATCGAGATTTTTTTTTTTAATGAAATATGATGCAATTTTCGTTTCAATGACAATTGTAAATTTTCTAAAAATATCTGTTAAAAGTCGGTATGTAAACTGAAAATGAGGGACGAGCAGGCCTCGTGAATATCGGTTAAAGAATTAAAGTTTGGTTTTGTATGCTAAGACGTTAATCACCTCACGAGAGTTTATTCCCACACAACATATTTTATCCAGAGACATCCTGCAAACATTCTTTGGACGTCTCTGAATAAAGTGTGCTGTATGGGTTATTATTGTTACAAAAGAAAAAAAATATAGAAAAGCTTATTTTTGACGCCATGAGATTTCTGAATCGGCATTTAACGAGATTTTGGCTTGTAATTTCAACTCCTTATCGCACGACTTCGCATATTTGTTCTTGTTGTATTAGATATATTTGTCGCAGTTATTATAATTAAGTATTGTTGTAATATAACATTACGCGATATAATCACTGTTTTTGGGACCAGTATAATTACGATTCAAGTTAAAATTACTATTTAGTTACATTTTAAACTGTGCGGCTTTTTTTGGTTTTCTTTTTATATTCATGTGACAGTAAGATAAGTAATGACACATAATATTCTTTTGCTAAGTATTACATTCCAACATGTTTAATATAATTTTTGATTTCAGAAAATTAGGATACTTTTGTTAATGCTAATATTAAACGTATTAATGTCGAATGAGAATCGTAAAGTTGGCGACAATTTGTATAACATTTGGGAAAGAATAAACATTCATATGTGTAAAATTACGAATTATATATTCCTTATTCCCGAATTATAAAATTCAAAGTACTAAGTAAATTATATATTGGGAGTACAAATTAGTTCGGTTCGTTTTCAAAAGATGGCTCTGGCTGTTATGAATGTATCATAGTGACAGCTGATTTCAGTAGTTTCAGAGAGGTTAGACATGTGTCAATAATATTCAGTTTATATCGCTTTGAGTTTCATATAAAATCCCTGTTTTTTACTGTGTTGAATATGTCAAATTTTGTGTTAACTAAGCAGCATTTGCGGGAGGTTTTAGTTTTCTGCTTTAATTGGAAGAAAAGTGCAGCTGAAGCGCATCGAATGCTTGTAGAAGTTTATGGTGACAATACTCCAACTGATAAATCATGTAGGGAATGGTTTCGACGTTTCAAGAATGGTGATTTCTGCGTTGAAGACAAGCCTCGCTCTGGACAGCCAAAAAAATTCGAAGACAAAGAATTGGAGGCATTACTCGATGAAGATCCGAGTGATTCCATTACGGGCCATCGGTATAGGCTACAATTGATTTATTTGAGCCGTGCATTACGAGAAAAACGGTCGGAATACGAGCAAAGACATGACAAAGTTATTCTTCTGCATGATAACGCTCGGCCTCATGTCGCAAAAGTCGAAAAATTATTTGGAAACACTCAAGTGGGATATTTTACTGCACCCACCGTATTCGCCGGACATTACTCCTTCTGATTACTGGTTGTTCCGACGGATGTAGCACATTTGGCAGGTCACCGGTTCACTTCTTTCGCAGAAATCGAAAATTGGCTCCTAACTTGGTTCGCCTCAGAAGACGAGATATTTTTTCGAGATGGAATTCGAAAATTGCCTGAGAGGGAAAAAGTAGTAGCCAACGATGGACAATACTTTGATTAATCTGTTCATTCATTTTGTTCTGAAATAAATGCATTTTTGACCACAAAAACGGACCGAACTAATTTGTACTCCCAATATTTACTTTAACTAGCCTTTGATGACGTCAGAAGCGAGGAAAACCATGCTAATTTATGTGGCGGTATACGTGAAAATAAAGAAATATACGTACAAAATAACACTCGTGACTGATTCAGCACACTTGTAAAAATGTCCGGATGCTTTCCTTACCGCGCGAACTTCCGCTGAGCGGCAAGCGTTGCCACGTCCTGTGGGCAGAAGCCATAAACTCATTCCATTAACATCCTAGGAACCTTAAATATAGCATTATATTAATATTCGTATAATATGCCAGAGACTTCCTAACCCCAATAAAAATATTTTGTACAAAATCTTATAAAAAACTTTTCCTCTATGTTGAGATTTAAAGGAAAACTCGCTGAGATCTTTTAATGACAAGCGTTACCACGTTCTGTGAGCAGAAGCCATAATATGTAAAGAGGAAAAACAATCGTCACTTCATATCTTTTCGTGATTTCAATTCCAATCGGCGGTCGGTCACTCATCTACCTTACTAACTGTAATTCGATGTTACTTGACTTCGATGATCGGGCAACTGACACTGATTTCAATAGGTGCGTTTAGGAAGCATGCCATTAGCGCTGATCAGTGCTAACGAGTCTATCCTTATCGTATATCTAATGTGGGACAAAGATAAAATGATGCGTTAACGTTAACATCTTCCCAAACGCATCCAATGGCTCTGTCGATATCCTTGCGATTTATGTTTGTATAATGTATCCTTACAATATTTACAAAATATTATAATCAATATTTACTGGCAAACATTAAAAACGACGCAACAGAAGTTGATATATAACAAATATTGATATAACGTATATTACTGTACCAAAGACGCCATGACTGTTCTTAGGTTTTTAATCAAATGTTATGGTTTAATAATTATTTCAAACAATAAATAAATTAGAAACGAATCTAAAGAAATTAAAGTCAAACAAACGGGAATACTACATTTAAAAAAACTTTTCCTCTGTGCAAGTCTTGTGCTAGCCCAAACAAAACAAAGTCATAAAAGTCAAGATGTAAGGTTGCTAAAATATTAAAATAATATTCCATTAACATTCTGATCATATTATAATGTAAGGTTATATTATAATATATATAGGGTTATAGGGTTATATATAGGGTTATATTATAATATTATACATATAATGTATAATGTATATATAAGGTTATATTATAATATTAATGTATATCAGTAATATACTCATTAAAATGTATAAGATTATACATAATTTTATTATAATATTCGGTGCTGTGAGGGGTATACGATACGTATGATATTCGATATTCAATAGGAAAATAGTTTTCCAAAAAGGAATTGTATTTTCTATTAGAAAGCTATTCTCCTATTGGATATTGTATATCGTATCATCGGGCATTGTGTGAGTCTTCCATCATATATCACATATACGAAAAAATGTGATAATTGCTGCAATTTTAAAAGGAGATTCCACTAATTTTCCAACAAAATTTTAATGTAAAATTATGTATTGTAAAGTTGCTAAAATATTGATATAAGATTCTATTAATCTTCTAACAATATTGTAATGTAAGGTTATATTATATAATTAGTGATATATACCAGTAACCTTCTCATTAAATTATTTAAAGTTATGACTTTCCTGTAACCTTAGTGCATTGTCCAGTGCTGTAAGAGTATATTATAAAGCACGCAGAAATTCCTAATATTTCAATGCTTAGAATTATGATGATTAAATATTACCTTATCATAAATATTGTTGCGTGAGTCGAGTCGACGCGATAGTGTGGGGTGCCCATCGCAGCACAATACAACGGAAGACGATGGTGACAATAAATTATCTCTCGTTCGAAGATGAACTTGTCTTTATTATGTTTTCCGCCCGATACAGTACTTCTAGTGTGACCGACAGCGGGTCGGTACCTGAGAGTCTAGAGTAGCTTAGAGTTTGATCTCGTGTCCCTTTTATCCTCTTCCTATGTCTAAATCAGAAGGGACAGTTTTGATGTGTCACCGTCACTTGGGTGTGGACGCTGACTACCTTGATTTTGGTATTGCATTCGCCAGAATGCAGAGTAGCATTTCTGCAAGGTGACATTACGTAATTGGGGCAACGTGTGATCGTAATTTGTTTATTGCAATCGACACGTCTCATGGTTATGCTTACAACAATATGAATACTTAAATACTAATGCCTAATAGCGCAGTAATGATGAAATATAATCTTGCACAAATTTAATACTGATACTTATTACATTTGCAATAATTAAGTATTAAAAAAGTATCAATAGAAGTATAGCAGATACCCTTACGGAAAAGTATTACTGCCTATGATAATTGACCAGTGATAAATTATTATTGACCAATAATTTTACTACTCGTACATTTAATAATATTACTACCCAAGCGGCACTTAAACGTTAGAGGAACGTTCGCTTTACATTCACTTGTTTTGGTTATATTCAAACAAAATGGGAACGTTTGAAGAACCTTTAATATATATCTTAGGTAGCAAAAGTGTTGCACACAAGTATCACAATTATGCTGTTCTGTTATAATTCCATTTTTTAATTAAAATATATACATCTTGAAGTTTGATTATGTCTATTTATAACAAATTATTTAAAAAATATATTAATTGCTAAAAGATATTAATATATTAACAGATATTAATATATTAATATATTAACAATATTAATATGTAACTGAGTAGTATAATTGTGATACTGCGACACTTTTGCTACGTAAGATATATAATAAAAGTTCTAAAACGTATGTTCTTCGAACGTTCCCAATTTTGTTTGAATATAACCAAACCAAGTGAACGTAAAGCGAACGTTCCTCGAACGTTTACGTGCTGCTTAGGTGAGTAACAGTAATTTATTGCTAACCAATTTATCATAGGCAATAATACTTCTTTATAAGAATAGTGAACATATATCAAGCAAACGTTCCGGTAGCAGAAAATCTAGGATACCTGACTGTTAATTAGATGACCCATATTTAATACTTTCCTAAGTCTGTATTTTTCTTCTGTTCTTCCTTTTTTTTATTACTTTATTTTATTATTAATATTAATTAAAAAATACAATTTTTTATGTATAATTTGAAA